TTCTACATACACAAAGGACCCATTACTATCAAATACTGTTGACAAATCTGTCTACAGCACAGTGATGTGTAGCATTGTAGCATATTTACAGGAAGAAATGTGGGATAAACTTCTTCTTGCTGCTCTGCAAGAAGATCATATTCTCCATAAAACAAGTGCAACAATGTTGACTTTTACACATTGTTCATAAATCAGAATAATACTCCATGTGGGATCATAGCACCAAGCAGAACTACTGAGCCACCTTTGTGAACATGTAAAATACATGCAACAACAAACAGGACTTCAATGGGTGACCTCATGCTGACTGCATGCATCTTCCATCTGTGACGGGCGTTCATCTTTGTCAATGAGTGTTCAGAAATACAGCAGAGAAGCAAAATTAAAAAACATGATGGAAAAAATGTTCCAGTGTAAACTGGCTGAACTTACAGCAACATGATAGTTTTATTACATGGAGTTCACATCTCTCTAACACTGAACAGCTTCCAGATAAAGACTGTTAGTCACTGTGGTTATCAACCACCTCCAACAAGAAACAGCGGTATAGAAAGGGCTTTAAAAAGGTCAGATATGAATCGGCAGTTTAGTTGTTGACAGTGTCGAAATACATGAAGCTGGTTAGGTTTGGGAAACAGCTGTACTGGGTTTTTATCATTGTTTACAGGTTATAGAAACTTTTCTGAAATAAACACAGAATTCAAGGCCTGTCTGACCAAAAACAAACATCTTTATAGATCTATGATCGAATTATGTCTGCAGTTTATCTGCAGCCAGTCAGCTTAAGAGAGGGTACGACTGGCCTGTACAGGCAGGATCCAGCTGTGACTACTGTAGAGGCTTTGAGTTCAAATGTTTGATGGTTAATGACAGCATGTTCATGCTGCAACATCTGCACTGTGATTTTATGATTTTACACATTCACGTTTGTTTACATAAAATAAAACATAAGAGATAATTCACTGTTTCATGAGCTACAGTCAGCACTGTGTGTGTGTGTGTGTGTGTGTGTGTGTGTGTGTGTGTGTGTGTGTGTGTGTGTGTGTGTGTGTGTGTGTGAGAGAGAGAGAGAGAGAGAGAGAGTCAGGGGATGGGGTATAATGTAAGCTGCCACAACTTCCTGACTCAAGACAAAAATTATCAAATTGCAGTTTTTACAGTTTTCAGCTGGAAGCAGTCCTGAGGTAAATACAGACGACTCCTATCACTCATATTCACATTATTTCTATTTGAAGAGCAGCAAATTATGAGAAAACTGACCTTCATCAGATATCTTACTGAAGTTTTAAAGTTACACTCTTTTCTTTTGTGCTTGTAGTGAGCTTCTGGATGAATGCGCTACTTTTTTACTTCCTAAAAAAGTTTGATTCTTGTGAATCGAGCTTGCTTTCAAGAATTAAATAAAGATTTACTGAAACTGCAGAGGGAATTTTCTGTTTTCACTGTTCTTGGTGGAATAATGTGGAATTTCTGAATCATTAAAAAAAATCAATTTCCTTTAGAAGTCTGAACATAAATCAAACTGAGCAAACTCCGGTCAGCTGTAGTTCAGACATATATAGCATTGGGCTCTATCATAGTTACATTGTCAGTTCACCAGGCCTTGTTTCTTCTTTTCATCCGTTGTTTCTTTTCTAATAGTGTTAACATGCTGCCTTTTCCAGAAACAATATTTTTCTCTGAAGAAAAAGTTTTTTACTGCAATTTCATCACTGAAAGCTGGAAAAAGATGCTGCCCATCATAGTTATGGTTGCATGGATCTATGTTTTTGACTGCCTGCCTTTGACCATACAGGTCCTTTGTTTTGTGGGCTGTGTGGTAAGTAAATAGTAAATTACTTTCATGTGTTTTTATGTCAGCATGTGAATAATTTTGAGATTTTTTTTAAAAGCCGATTTATAATAATAAAAAAAATCATTAGTTATTTGTTGCATGGACATTAAGCACTGATTCTTGTTTACAATGGATAACCTCAAAAAATTTACGTAATACTAAAGTAAATCAGAAACACACATCCTACACTATTTGATTGAATAGAGACCGAGGCAGGAAGTAAAACTAACAAAGGACACAAAAGAAAATGACCTTCACAGTAAACCAGGAAGCAACCCAACCATCAAGACCTATCAGATACAGAGACAAGAACACTTCCATAAACTGATATGGACTGAGCCTGCTGTCCCAGTATGCAGTACAAACACTGTTATACTGAGTCTTCCTTTTACTTCATTAATGTGACTTAAATACATGTTTCCTGCAGGCAAGAAGGAATCAGGTCCCTGTCATCTATTACATAAACCTCATCCTTTCCAATGTGATCAAGATTTGCGCCTTCAACATGACAAAAGCAAAACCAAATGACCGCACAGTCTCCAGCACTGCTTCGGTTTTTTACCTGTTGGGTGTGATGGCCAGTCTTTACTTCAAGATGTGCATTGCTCTGGAAAGGTACCTATTTGTCTCAGTGTGTGCGCTTTGTACTGTAAATGAAGCATCCTTATGGTTCTGAACTGTGATATGCAGAGTATCTGTCTTGTGTTGCAGGTATTTCTTCATCGCCTGCCCCCTGCTGGACTTCATCAGAAAAACCAAGACTTCTGTGCTGGTCTGTCTTCTGGTCTGGACCCTTTGTGTTTTCAGTTGCCCTCTTGGAGTATTATTAGAGCAGTCTGAACGCATCTTTATTTTTGCCTTGTTTCCTGCTCCCCTGTTCATCTGCTGTCTAGCTGGGACTCTCAGATCTCTGCCTGATGCCACCTCAGTGCCCAGTGAGGAAAAACAAAGAATTATAGGAACTTTGGTTCTGTTGTTGGTTAGTTACTGTCTGATTATCATACCTACAATCATCCTAATAGTTTTGGAACCATATCTTTTTGACAGTTACTTCATTTCCATCTTCTCTCTGCTCAATTCTTTTGAGATCTTGATTCTGTTTGTCATTATGTGTAGAAGTCCAGTTGAAAATCTGCTGGCATGTCTGTGCTGCTGCAGCAGATCCAGCAAGAGATCATCAGTGTGAGTGATGGCAGCACACACGAGTGGGTTCATGTCAACAAGGAAAGGAAAAGAGATAAGAGGAGAACACAGCAGGAGAGAGGCTGAGAAAGCAAGCAAACAATCTATTTCACTAGAACCCTCATTCACTAAAATGTGTATGGAACGTAAAATTTGTGCATAAAATCATTGTCAGATTTAGGAAATGTGTGCACGATTGTACATATTTTAGTAAATCAGACTCATTCTAAACGAAGGGGCTTGGCAGCAGTGCTGCCTGCCCCTATTTTTCTATTTAAGGAAGACATTTACCCAGAGGTGAAATTGACTAAAGAAAATGAGTAAAAAAATTGAATTGGCTTTAAATTCCAAAGGCCAATTGTGCTACCACTGCTGGTAACACTAGGGGAATTGGATCAAAAACTTTAATCTGAGCACCCAGAGGAGTGACCCTAAAACTGGGGGCATGCCTCCAACAGATCCCAGGAACAACATCTCTAGGAACAGCAAAGATCCTGCACAGGATGCCCAATCTAGAAGGATAAAGACGGGCCAGTGGGGATTTTTTTTTTTTCAATTTCAGTTTAAAATTGTATTAATTGTTTTCTCACAGTAACATTTGTATTTCCTCTGATTTATTGAGTCACATGTCACATGTAAAGGTTTCAGGACACCGCCTCGAGACCTGGAGTTTGACACCTGTGGCCTATAGTAACTTCAGTTTTGTATGTTAAGTATACATCTATATTTTCTTATTCTTGCAAAAGTTTGGTCATATTCCATTTTATTCTGTGCTTTATGTCACTGTCAACTTTTTTCATTCGTGTTGGGTGGGGTTGTGTTCTGTAGGGCCAGGTGGTTTTATCTCTTCCTTAAATCGTGGAAAAAACATTTTTGGTTGAACTAACTTTAACTTTAAAAACACCAAAGATGATATAGTAAACCGTGAAATCATTATCTTTGTCAGCAGAAAGATGTGACAACATTTGAACCGTCACCATTTTTTAGCCACTAGATGGAGACACAGGGTTGAAAATAGGATGGTGTTTTAGAGGTTTGTGTGACGGTGAATCTGTTTGACTATTCTGTGTTTACAGTTGAAGAGGGACAATAAATTGTCCACAGTTTGTTTGGTTTTTTTTGGTAGTAACTTGTTAGATATGTATTCAATCATTTGTCTTTGGTGTATTTCCTTTGTGGTGCACTGCACTCTGTAATTGTAGACCTGCCTGGAAAATCCAGTAGCGAGTTAGATCCCCGGCACACCACCAACCAATTCATGTTTCTAACCACTTTTTCCCCACTCTGTGACACACTCCCTGAGGAACAAACTCGCACTATTGGTGATTGTGTTTTAGGAAATGTGAGGCTAGAGACATCAGCACCTGGCTGAGGATAAATAAAGACTTCATAAATAATAATTGAGTAAATGATTTAATAACAGATGAACATATCAGTTGTGTGTGTGTGTGTGTGTGTGTGGGGGGGGGGGGGTGTTAGACTAGGTGAATGAGGCTTGTAAAAAAGTGCTTTGAGTGTTCAAATAAAGCAGAAGAGCACTATGTAAGTATCAGTCCTTTTGCTTTGTGTAGTTGTGCTTGTGTTAAAGGTGGAAATGTTCTATAGACTTGTTTTGACACAAGTGCTCTCACACTGAAGATTGCACATTTAAAACCCATGTTATCAACTTGGTGTTTGCTGCCACATCACCTGCTCTGTTGGGTCTGTGAAATTTTATTGTAGTGGAAAAAGGAAGATCGAACTTGTAAAGAGTTCATAAAGTCACAAACATGGTTTCAAATAAACTGCCAACTGCAGTTTTTAGAAAAGCTAAGCTAAACGTGTGTACACACACTGCATTTAGCACTGTGTCTATGGTGCAGAAGCTTTAAGTTTATCCTGACTGGCTGTTGTCAGTGTGAACACCAGTGAGTACAGGGTGGAGTCCATAAAGTGTTACCACAATTTCCTCGTTCAAGACAAATTCGTCATATTGCAGTTTTCACCCACTGGTTCAGCTGGAAGCAGTCCTGAGACAAGTAAGAGCAAAGCTTATACTAATTCATATTATTTCTACTTGAAGAGCAACATAGTTATGAAGAAACTGGCTTATAATTAGAACAAATCAGCATTTTCAGACAGCATGTGGAAGTCATAGTACTACCAACTTTTCTTTTGTGCGTGCAGTGAGCTTCTGTGTGAATGCAGAGGATGTAAATGTGCAGCTTTACTGTACTTTTTATTTGACAGAGAAAATCGGATATTTGTGTTCACGTCTTTGTTTAATACAGTTTTAAAGAGGACAGGTGTTTGATCCTGCTGAAGTCAATATATGAAATGAATTGCCTATTTTATCCACAAGTCTAATAAAAAATATCCATGAGGATTATTTAAAGTTATATAGAGGTGTTTTTGTCTTTATTTGTTAACAATTTAAAAGGAATTTCTGAATCACCTTTATTCACATTTAAACAAGTTAACTGAAATAATGAAAGGTAGATTTTACCTGACTTTAAAGTTATTATATTAATTATATATTGATTAATCTTAATTTTACAGGCGTACAGACACGTTCTTGTGTATGCTCTTCCTTGTTTTGTCCTTTTTTAAATTATTTTATGATTTGTTACATCAGTTCAGCAGGTTTTGCTTCTTCTTTATCAGTTTCATCCACAATTTCATGTCAACATAAGAACAATGTTAACCTGCTGTTTTGTTTTTTCTACCACCACCTGTGTGCTTCACAAAAGTGTTGTACATCAGACATCTTGGATCATACATAAATACGATAACAAAATGTTATCAACATGAGCGATATTTCCTTGAAGTGGTGATGTGGATTTACGTGTGTGTCTGCCTTCCTTTGACCGTACTGATCATCTACTACGTGTGTTGTGTGGTAAGTAAATGAAGTAAATAGTCCCTTAGATTCAATGTGTAATGTAATATAATAATAAATTTTTCCATCAGATGCAAAGGAGTCAGGTCCCTGTCATCTATTACACAAACCTCCTCCTCTCCAATCTAATCCGGATCTGCATAATGATCGTTTGGATCATAAGAGTGGAAAGCAGCATGAGTGGTATTATTTACAACTTGTGTGAGATGGTCGGTCTTTACTTCAAGGTGTGCATTGCTCTGGAAAGGTACCTCTCTGTCTTTTAATGTGTGCGTTCGTGCATTTCTATGAACATCATATTGTACTGTGAAGAATCCTCACAGTCATAAACCTTTTTTTGTACTATGACAGTCAGAATTTGTGTCTCTCTTGTGTTGCAGGTGTTTTTTCATCACACTCCCACTGTTGGACTGCCTCAGACAACCTAAGAGTTCTGTGCTGCTCTGTGTCCTGGTCTGGGCTTTTTGTATTGTCAGTTTCCCTCTTGCCATAGTTTTACATCAGTTCATACATTTACTTATTTATGCTGCCCTCCCTGGCCCCCTGTTCATCTTCTGCTTAGCTCGGACCTTCAGAGCCCTGCCTGCTGCCACCTCAGTGCCCACTCAGGAGAAACGTCGAAGTCTAGGAATTTTAATTCTGTTGTTCTTTAAGTACTTTGTACTGATACTGATTCCCATATCCATCTTTCATAATGAACGTATTCCCTTTGAAATCAATTGGATCTTCTTTTTGCTCTGTCCTTTTGTGGACTTAGTTTTGTGTCTTTTCATGCGGCAGGGGCGCATTGACAGGCTGCTGGCATGTCTGTGCTCATCGGTGTGACTGACGGCAGCAGTGAGAGGTGTGGTGATGAAAACAGAGTCAGGAGAGCAAAAGAGGGGGAAGAGTTGATATCAGAGTGTCAGAGTTTTTTGATAAATGAAGCAAACAACAGCTGATATCTGCATCTCAGCCACGCTTTTCTCACTTCAGCTATCCATGTGTAAATAATTTCAAAATTACTTTATAATCACTTTTAAACACTCATTGTATTCCAGTAGTAAACACATTTTTCTTTTCTTTTTCAATTGTTTTTTCATCGAGATTTTAAAAGTGTTTTGTTTTCCCTTCCTTGTAATTATGATCACCAGTTAATATTCATTTGTTTCTACATGCAAATAATGTATCCAAATGTTTGTAACTTTTTAAATTTGAATTTGAATTTTTATTTATACCATCTCTCATTCATTTTTGTATGGAACTCTTTAAGGTTATTTGCATTTCCTCTGATCTACCCACTGATGCTACAGCAGCACGTGTTATTAAAAACTTTGCATCTCTTTATGCACCCATGATCCTTAGTTTCGGCTCTCTAATAAAAAAAAAAGTCCCTGATCCTGATCCCTGGTCTCAATCCAGGTGTCTTCTTGCTTTCCCTGATATGAAGAAATCTGAACCTTGCAGGTCAAATTATATCAGTCGGGCAGCTCTCCTTTCGATTGTGGTACTTGATCACCTGAGATGGGTTTAGAAGCCTGGACTATCTCTGACTTACATGATTTAACAAAAAGTCTAAACTTTAAGATCACGTCATTCCATTTCCTTTGTTGTTCTTAAGATCAGTGTCGGTCAAGTTACTTGAAAAAAGTAATCAGTAAGTAATTACTGATTACTTCCCCAAAAAAGCAATCCCATTACTTTACTGATTACTTATTTTCGAAAGTAATTAATTACTTAGTTACTTAGTTACTATTAGATTATTCTGTTATTATATGTTACCTTATATATGTAATCAAAGTAGTTGAATTAGAATACTGCTGTAGATCACATTATACCCTTTAATATAGAGTGTGTGAGCTGTATGTAGTTTAGTTCTCATTATACTTTTGAGTTAACAGAACATATTCACATATTAGTTCATTAGATAAATGTGCATCACTCTGTATCCTGGATCAGCTGTGAATGTCTTACACTGTTTTCTTGAAATGTTTTATTGCTGAATCATGTGAAGAAGGCTGTAAGAAGGAGACTAGGTGTCTGGGCAGAAGAGATAAAACCACATTCCTTACCCCCCTTCCTACTTCATACAGAAAGACAGGGAGGCAAGGTCAGGAGCCAGGCTCGCTAAGAATTAGAAAAACATGTGAAGATGCAGCTTTTATGACAAAGAGGGGGGCTGGTACTAGCTATAAAAGTCTGTGAAAGTTGCTACCATTTTGAGACATGTGCCTGACCCTCTGGTAGCATCTCTCCCGTCCGGACGTTGTAATGCTCTGACTGTTGAATTGTATGGAAATAAATGATTGTTGATTGAGCATATATACACCGAGTATTGTCCTTCCTTCAGCCCAAAGATTCAAAGAATTGGGTGATTTTCAACATTACTTTTTAAAAACACGATTTACAACCTGGAGAGGTGATAAAGTGATAGATCTTTCAGCCCAGTTCTACTTTTTCTGCATAATCCATCATACAAAATGTAATCAAATGGAAAAGTCTCTTTTTAAAATTTGTTTTATTAGTTTTAATCTTTTAACTTTATGCATCAAGCAAAAATTTAATTATATGCAACATTCTCTGACTGGAAGAAATTAGTTTAACATTTAAACCTATTTTCTGCACATTCCAGCACATAAATAAAATATTTTTTTGTTTTTACACTCAGTCTTTCAAATAGATGCAAGTAAAACACAGCAGAAAATAAATAAAGTCAAAGACTAGCGGTCCTTTTGCTCTATTTTCACCTGTAAAGCAGGAGTGGGGCAGGCGGAGGTTTACCCTGGTGCAGGTGTGCCGCGGTCAGTGGAAGAATCTGCGAGTTTCTCTGTGAGTTTCCCATTATGTCGTAGCTACTCGGTGCTTATTTAGGGGTTTTCTTCCCACGCACAACGGACACTAATGTTTTGGTCACTTTTTATGGAATCAAACTCAAAGTAAGGTCAGTACTTCCACGCTTTAAACGCTGCACGCTCAAACTCTCTCCCGCACTCGATATATTATCCATTGTTGATCTGCACACAGCTGTTGTCACAAACGTCGCACTCGCTTACATCACTGTCATGAGATACTCTCGCAGAAAAATAACGGTTTTAGTAACGCAGTAACGCAGCGTTCCTACGGGAAAGTAACGGTAATCTAATTACCGTTTTTGCAATAGTAATCCCTTACTTTAGTCGTTACTTGAAAAAAGTAATCAGATTACGCGTTACTGCCCATCTCTGCTTAAGACAGAGAATTCACATCACATTTAAATATTCAGTCATATATGAATATTTCTTGAGCAGTGTTGGGGAGTAACGGAATACATGTACCGCCGTTACGTATTTAAAATACAAAATATGAGTAACTGTATTCCGTTACAGTTACCGTTTAAAAAGGTGGTATTTAGAATACAGTTACTTAGTTGAAATAAATGGATTACACGGCGGTATTTTCCTGTTTCATATTGTGGCGGGTCAGGACTTTGGGTTTTGTTTGACAGCTGTGTTCTGTTGTTCCAGGCGGCAGCGTTACGGTTGCCATGGTGACGCACGCTCTCTGCGACTGTGTGTTTCCTGGGTGAGAGAGCGCTTTTTTTGTTGTTGTTGTTGTGCTAAGCTAATAGGTATGGCGTTATTTTTGTGCCACTATTCTGAGCGCACGTAAAAAAAAGTTTGAGCACACGTAAAAAAAAATTGCAGGTTGTATTTTGAGAAGAAATTGATTTTGAGCGAAGAAAAGCTAAATTTGAGTGAACAAAATTCATTGCTGCGTGCAAAAAATGTATTTCAGTGTTTGCTATTATCCATACACACACACACACACACACACAATAGCAGCCCCTCTTGCTCAGTTTTTGCATTTGCGCTCGCTCGCAATGTGTTGCTCGCGCTCTCAACATTTCTGCCCGTGCGCGCTCAACTCTTTCTGTACACCGTTATATCTGTGCCACACAACCAGCCAATCACAGACTTGGATGCAAAAAAATCTGATTGGCTGTTTTGGTCTCCAATCAGCTTTAAATGACGAAATGCAATATCCCAGAATGCATTTCGTCCAAAACTCAAACGAGGCAGTGGCGGAGGAACACCTTTAATGATATATAGCAGTTGGGGGTCAAAAGAAAGCCATATGTAAAATCTAAAAGTGAGATAGCGGTCAAATAATTCAGAATCTCTAAATTATTATTATGCAGTCCCAATCAAAAGTTTAAAACCATTTGAAAAATGGCAAAAAGTCATATTTTTCATGGTTGGATTTTAACAAAATGTTAACAAAATGAACTTTAAATGTGGATTCATTGTTATTTTCTGTCAGGTAATCACACTGTCATGACGTTCTGATGGCAAAGGCAAAAAAACTTTCCCTTGTTGAACGTGGTCGGGTTGTTGAACTGCATAAGCGGGGTCTCTTGCAGCGTGCCATCGCTGCTTAGTTGGGACGCAGTAAGACAGTGATTTGGATTTTTTCAATAATCCTGAGGGTTATGGAACAAAAAGGCCAAGTGGAAGACCCCAAAAATTTCACCAGCACTGAGCCGGAGGATCCAATTGGCTGTCCAACAATCGTCGACCCAAATTAAGGCCGTTACTGGTGCCGACTGCAGCCCCATAACCATTAGACAGGATCTGAGACTGAAGGGCTTCAAAAACAAAAAACGGCTTCAAAGGCCTCGACTCCTTGAACGCCACAGAACTGACTGTTTGGACTTTCCAACAGCGCGCCAAACATGGAACACTGAAAGGTGGAAGAAAGTTTTATTCTCTGATGAGAAAAAATGTAACCTTGACGGTCCTGATGGTTTCCAGTGTTACTGGTATGACAAGCAGAGCAGACCCCACCTGAGATGTTTTCTACGCCCCATAGTGGAGGGGGCGCCATAATGGCCTGGGGCTTTTTCCTTCAGTGGAAAAACGGAGGTGCAGGAGTGTCAAATGGCCGCTGGCTATGTCCAGATGTTGCAGAGAGCATCCCTCATGACTGAGGGCCGTCGTCTGTGTGGTAACAACTGGGTTTTTCAACAGGACAATGCTTTAGTACACAATGCCCGCAGGACAAGGGACTACTTCCAGGAGAATAACATCACTATTTTGGACCATCCTGCAGCTTCCCCTGATCTAAATCCAGTTGAGAACCTTTGGGGATGGATGGCAAGGAAAGTTTACAATAAATGCCCTTTGTGTGGCTTTATTCACGACTTGGTGATCAACAATAACAGTGGAGCCACTCATTACTGAGACTGTATTTTATTTTACATTTACAGCTATTGTCATCAGTCAGGTTTCCTTTCTTTAATGTTGCATCTTTAGCAAAACCTTAACTAACTGAACTGATTGCTATTACAGTGCAAATGCTATGCACTGATGCAGGTTAAGCAAACTCGTGCTTTGTGCATGAGTAAAAGGCTAAATGTTGTCAGTAAAAGACTCCAGTCTCTGAGCACATTGGCTTTCAGTGAAGAAATAAATCTATTTTAAAAAAAACATGTTATCAGCAAGTTAAGTTGCTCTCATCTGACGTGTCTGTGGGTTTTAACTCAGTGGAAACACAAAGATAAAGTTTCGTAGGAACTCAAAGTCACAAAGATCATTATATTAAAGTGCAAAGTGCAGTGCAAAGCTTATACATTTATGAAAACTGCATTCATTTTGATGTTAATACCAGCTGTGGGCTTTCGATTCAGAAATGAACCTGTCATGATGGGCTGTGTGGCAGGCTGGGTCAGGACCTAAACACAGGACTCAGAGACAGAATACTTAACCAAAGGCCGCAGCTTTATTGCTGGCAAAAAACAAACTAAAAACAAAATACATGAATACTAAAGAAACAAACCAAACATGAACTGCAACTAAGAAACTTCTAACTGGTCATAGATGACGTGACATGGGACCACGGAACTACACATGACACTAGTGATGGTCCGCTTGAAGCTGAAGCTCCGGTGCGTGTGTCAAAAAAATCAACACACTGCTTCAGAAGCACTGTGTCGAAGCTTGATTCGTTTGGCCAGAGTCACGTGATCAGTGACGTCCGAAGCTTCATTTAGAACCTAACTGCTTCGGCATCTGATTCAATGGAAGCGAATCATTCGCGGGATTTGTGGAGTGTTTTGATGGTGACAGATAGCGAACCACTGATCATTCTACTGAGAGATTTGGAGCCAGCGAGGAATAGAGGAGGTTCTGTTGTGTGGGAGAATTTTGAGTTGATTTTTGTCAATCGGGTGGGTTTTCCAACTTTGTGTTCTGGCCGTTTGCTTTTGTTTTGTGCGTGTTTATTATATCTGAAAACGGGAAAAAGGTAAAATGTCAAAAATCTGCTTCCATAATATAAATATCATTAAATATCTTTAGAAAAACTTCCACTTGATTCTTTA